CACATATGGAGAGAAAAGGGAGATCACCGCCCTCTGTGGGATCAGGTTGAGATCATAGACAAAGAACACCATTGGAAAATTCGTAAACTTAAGGAATCAGCACATATGCTAGGCCACAAAAATCTCCTGAGCGACCAAGCATAGAAATAAATACAATATGGGAACCAGTAATAAGGAGTGCCAGAGAAAAGTAAATGATAACAACAAAGTTGCAATATGAGGTCTGGTAAAACATGAAAAATGATAACATAAAATTGCAATATGAGCACTGGTAAAATGGTTGCTGAAGACATTAGGTTTATAATACTCAGAAATTCATACCCAGATGTCCTCAAGGACACATGGCACAGTGAATAAAGACGTTGGTTAGATCCAGTGACAGGAAGAGTGTGAGTTCAATACCCGGTTAAGGCAGTGGAGAACTTTCAGAGGGAAATTAGCAGGAGATAACTGATATCCATCATGGCCCGTGGAACTAGAACAGTCTACCCCAGTGAGCGAAATAAAGGGTGCAGTTTGAAATTCCAACCACCTGAAGAAGGCCGGAGAGTACAACGGCCGAAACGTTGTGATAAATATGGCGACAAAGATGATGACAATAGTCCGAATAATGGAAATAACGTATGCACATTCACTCACTATACATACTTCGGACCATGAGGTTTTCACATTCATTTGAGACACGCATCCTTGTCCTTGTTGTTTGTATACCTTTGTTGTTAATACATTATTATTTGTTCGTACATATATATTGGTTCTTGTCGTTTCCTTCATTTATTTACGTGGACTCATATCCCGAATCTGCCATGTTTCTTGTGGAGACATCTAGGTTTATCTCTCAACACATACACCGGCTTGAAACAAGTTTATGACATGTTGAAAAGTAATCCTGAAAGAATTATTACACAAGAAAGTTGAGGAGAGCGAACAGAAATCACTAACGATTAACTATAAGAGGATAGAATATATGGCTGTCACTAAAATAGACGACCCAGGGTAGGAGTTATGTGTCTGAGTCATAAAAATCCAACAGGTAATGAAATTTAAATATCTGCTTACTATAGTAACAGATTACAGAAAGTCTGACATAAATCAAAAGTCGCATAGGAATAGCGAAAGATGCTTTTCAGAAACTAAGCAAAGTGCTAAAGGACCAAGCAATAATATCTTGGTATTTGTTTATAAACTGGATGTTAAATTTGCTGTATTTAATTTAAATATAGTGCTTTCTTTTTAGTGTTTATCCGATTTAAAAAAAATTGTCATCTTGCAGCTAACTGGCAATGTATTATGGAGTCTGGCTGCTCTGGACAATTTAAAAGAAGACTGCATGACTGAAATACAAAGTAATGTTTCTTTCTGGCAAAAACCAAACTACCAGGGACAATAACAAAAGGACTATGTCTTAATTAATGCCAACAGAGAGGAAACTGTACAGAAGGTGGGTATGTCAATGATTGCTGAGCAACTGAGAAGTGATTCTATAGACAAACGGCGGGGGTACCATGGGCAGAGCATGTGAAAAACGGTAACATTTTAAGAATAGTAATTACAAGTTAATTGCTGTTAACAATCAGAAAGAAACCGCTGAAATTTCTGGAACACATAATGAAGAAAGAAGGCTCGGAGAACATAATGATCACAGGGAGACAGAGGAAAACAACAAATGATCTAGTTGACGGTTTTGAGCATCAGAACAAGGACAGAAGCAGATAGTAAAAGTACAAGTGTTACATAAGTATATAAGAAAAGACAGACAGGTTGAGAGAGTTATGATTTCCTGAAACCAAATGGCATATGGAAGATGAAGATTATGACCATATCAGATAACGATCTACTTTCAGAACCTGAATCCATTCCATTTCCAATATGATTCGCACCAGGAAATTAATGGCTTCGACAGAAAACTTTCATTTGTATTGTCAGAGGAACAGCAGTTGGTTTTCCTCGGAATCATTTTCTATTTCCACTTCTCATAATTTTCAACTGTTTTTGATTTCCTTTCGCAATTTGCAACCGTTTTTTACACTAAGGACACATTTTGTCTTTCTTAAGCTGACTAAATCAAGAAAGAATATGAAATACTATTGCTTACTTTATATACGAGTTGCCATTATAATATATCTTTCTATAGGAAGTTATACTATAATATATCTTTATATAGGAGTATCCGTTATAATATATATTTAAGTAGGAGAATGCATTGTAATATATATTTTTATAGGAATTTTTACTATAATAAAACTTTATATAGGAGAATCCATTATAATATGTTCTATATAGGAGTATCTATCATAATATATCTTTATATAGGAGTATCCATTATAACATATTTTTATATAGGAATTCATACTATATATTTATATAGGATAATCCATTATAATATATCTTTATATAGAGTATTCATTATAATATATCTATTATAGGAGTATCCATTATAATATATATTTTTATAGGATAATCCATTATAGTATATCTTCACATTGGAGTATTCATTATAATATATCTTTATATAGGATAATCCATTATAATATATCTTTATATAGGAGTATTCATTATAATATATCTTTTATAGGACTATCCATTATATCTTTATATAGGATAATCCATTATAATATATCTTTACATAGGAGTATCCACTATGATTACGTTTGAAATAATAAAAAATCTCAGATACAAAACTGAGCACATATTGCCTTACAAGAAAAATAATCGATATGAAGAAATGTGCTTTCTTTACAAAGTGAATATATATATATATATATATATATATATATATATATATATATATATATATATGTCAATGGTGACCTCGACGGTCGGGCTTGTTGTGGCTCAGTCCGAGTGAGTCTACATTCAAGTACATCTATTTCAAAGCAACAAAAATCCTTCGTAGTGCGTCGTTAGCATTATCGACTTCAGATGAATCCAAAATTCAAAATATTGTCCGGACGAAATATGTCTTAGCCCTATCTGAGCTGGAGACAATCTTAATAGACAATGTATTCCTATAAATAATCTTTTTAAAAATCTCTAATGAATTGTATGCCTTGTTTTTCAAAGAATACATTTTTTATTATTTTTATTTCAACTTATTGCTTTCAAATGCCCCTTTTAAATACTTTATTCCGTACATTAGAAGCTTTTTTATCACAATGCATTAACTGAAAAGGGCAAATTAAATTTAACCAGACCTCAAGTGGGCGAAAATCAAAGCGTCGATTGGTGGGTCAGGATGAGGGGTGTGACTGGAAATGTTGAGGAAATATGGTATCAGTCAGCAGCGTCGGTTGCTGACACAAAAAATAACAATAAATTAACCTAAAAACTCACGAAAAAATACATAAACGCACTAACGCATATACATATATAAAAACACACACTCGAGATTTAAGATACGTTAATAAAAAATAATATCTGCTTAAAGATTTTAAAGATTTATATATTTTAGTTAGACTAAAGGAATCATCTAATATATACCAATAGTATATTTTGATAAAAGATTGTAATGGACCCGACAAACATTTATGACCTAGCGTTGCCACTGATATATATATATATATATATATATATATATATATATATATATATATATATATATATATATCACCCTTTCACTGTCGAAACTACTAAATGTAGCTGTCTCTTCTACTCCAATAGCTTCATGCCTCGCACCTCTCGCCTTTGAACTCCCTTCCAGTTTCCCTGAGAGCTATAATCTCCAACTATTCAAATGTAATGTCAATCGGCATCTCCAGTTGCCTTGATCTATCCACTATCTTTCTCCTCATCCTTTCTTCTATCATTCCCTATCTGATCTTGCTCCAAATCTTCTGTAACCCCCCCGCGTCCTAGTGGCTTCCCGCCTTGCTTGGGGTGAAACGCTTAATATATATATATATATATGTGTGTGTGTGTGTGTGTGTGTGTGTGAACAGGGCGGCTAGGAAATCTTTATTGCAGACGCCTGCTCAAACCAGAGTCCACATATGTTGACATTAGTTACAGTCTCTGAGATATATATATATATATATATATATATATATATATATATATATATATATATATATATTGAATTTAGCCCTCCGAGCCTTTATCGTCTTTCGCATAGAAAAAGTTAAAATCTCCCTTTTTCGCTGCAGTGTAACGATAGTCTAGGCGTAGAATCTCTTACGGATAACAAATCGGTCGGGTTTCGATCCCGAAGCAATCGGACGTTGAGCCACACTGACCAGCTGTGATACAGCGACACAGTCTGTCTGTAGATAACAATATATATATATATATTAGAGAAATTTGTTCAATAAATATTTTCTAATCCTCATTTTATTTCATCTGTCCTTATGCGATGAATTAAGCTAAGCTAGTTAACAGTAATCATAAGAACTTAATTAAAAAAGAGGGAAATGGATGCCATGGGAAAACGGATCAAGAAACTGATGGCAAAACGTGTTGTCGCGAATGGTGTCAAGAAATGTAAAGGCGAACTATTCATTGATGCTATTAAGTGCTACTTCCGTTTAACTTCTTTTCCTTGTTCCCTTCTAGCTTTCAGTCATGATTCTTTCTGTTTGTTCCTGATGATGCTACGTGACCCGGACCGAAACATCAACAAATAATTTCTGCTGCAAATATAATGAAAACAATAACAACGAAATAAAAACCCAACTGGATTCCTTGTTTTTGTGATGAATTCTTGGAGTTCAATTTATTCGTTCTTGAGACATAAAATAGAGACAAACAAAAAAAAAAATGACATAATGTCTTCGAAAACAAAAGCTTGGAACGTGTCCTAAATAGTCGCATTCATATGCAAATAGAAAATGCGACCATTTTTAGCACTGAACGTCTCATATGCAAACTACTTCTTCTATGTGAGATGTCTTATCAAGATGTTGGCGATCATGGCTCTCCAAAACTTCCTGTCCTTATGTAAATTAAGATTTGTATTAATTTTAATTTCTCTTCGTGAAGTTTATACGAGCTCTTCTAAACCATATTAACACTGGTTCTCGTATGATCACTGACGTTAAGCATCATCGAACTTGGTGAGTACATAGATGGGTAACAGCCTGAGAATACCAGGTGTTGTAAGCTTTAATGTGCGAATACTCAAATGGATAATGCTTCCAATTCTAGTCAGGTTCGTCATATTCACTTACTTGGGAAAGGTATAAATTCCCCCCTATTCTCTCCCCATCTATGGGTTAAATGGTAGGATTTTTATCAGTAAATCATTATTATCCCAAGCTCCTTACAGTCTAAATTATTTTCTGGCTTTAAATAGCCTGTAGAAAGGTTTGATAAGAAGTAAAGCACAATCAATCAATCAAAATTCTATTAATGTACGGACATTTTATATGCATCTAATTCTATATATGTATGTGTGCGTATATCTATACATATATATATATATAATCAAATATAATCAGGAAAAATATAATATAAACAGGAAAATAATATATATATATACATATATATATATATATATATATATATATATATATATATATATATATATATATATAGTCAAATATAATAATTTGATTATATTTGCTCTACTCTGTATTGAGCAATCTTTTAAGAATAGTATTTATATTTAATAGTATTTATAATTAATATATATTACATATATATTTATATAATCAAATATAATCAGGAAAATATAATATAAACAGGAAAATAATATATATATATAAATAATATATATATATATATATATATATATATATATATATATATATATATATATATATATAATAATAATTTGATTATATTTGCTCTACTCTGTATTGAGCAATCTTTTTAAGAATAGTATTTATATTTAATAGTATTTATAATTAATATATATTGCATATATATATATATACACATGTTTATTATAATTATTTATTATTTATATTTAATATACATATATTTAATAGTATTTACATTTTATCTATGTATTATATTTAATAGTATTTATATTCAATGTATATATATATATCATATATATATTATTTATTTACCATTTATATTTAATATATTTTTATATTTAATAGTACTTATATTTAATGTATATATTATATTTAATAGTATTTATATCAATATATATATATTATTTATATATTTATTATATTAATTTATTATTTATATTTATATTATATATATATATATATATATATATATATATATATATATATATATATATATATATATATATATATATATATATATATTATATTTAATTTAATGTATATATTATATTTAATAGTTAATTGCATTTATATTCTTTTAAGAATAGTATTTGGAATTTGCTCTTCAATTTAGGATACTGGTTCAATTCCTGTCGGAGGACGCCTATTGTAATTACTGTTCAATTTAAAAAAAACAGCCTTTACTTAAATAAGTTGTATCCACAAAAATAACGTATAAACAGAACATATATATATATATATATATATATATATATATATATATATATTTGCAATAATTTAAAATCGATTGAATTATCGAACCTCCTGATGAGCATATTAAATCTGTTATCGTTATATTCACTTACGCACAAATACCTTTGGGAAAGGTATGAATACATATTTTCTCCCCATCTATGGGTTAATTAGTAAGATTTCTATCACTAAACATTTATTATCTCAAAAACAAACTTACAATCTAAAAATATTTCCTGGTTTTAACTAACCTGGAAAGGGTTGATAACCCGTAAAAAACGAATCAATTAATCAACTGAATAAGTGCAATGATAACCTCTTCAAGTCCACAGTCAAACGTTATCTATCCTACATATCGTATAGATAGATAGATATACTGAGATACCATCATAGATCGATAGACTGAGATACCTTTATAAATAGACGAAGATAGATAGATAGATAGATAGATAGATAGATAGATAGATAGATAGATAGACTGAGATACCTTTATAAATAGACGAAGATAGATAGATAGATAGATAGATAGATAGATAGATAGATAGATAGATAGACTGAGATACCTTTATAAATAGACGAAGATAGATAGATAGATAGATAGATAGATAGATAGATAGATAGATAATACACACTTACTCACACTTTACGTCGATGCAACAAAGTAACATTCTACCTTGAGTATTTCTAGGGCCTTGTATCTGATGAACATTTAGTAAAAAAGAAAAAATGACAGACTCGGGGAAAAGAAGAAAGTAAATGTGCGAATAATGACGAGATGAAAAAGTGTTGGTTGTGGTTTGGAGTCACCGCGGCTAATTGGTGGGATGTGCCTGACCAGAACTGTGAGATTTACTGGCAGGTAGCGAAATAAGCAGATTACAGATTAAAATCAATGGAACTTTTGGTCGGCTTTATCATATTATCGCGAGCTTCTCTTCCATATTGCCCGCCTATCGAACACTTCCACAGGGCAAACGGTCCCCGAATTATAGAGGGTGACAAGGAAAGTAGATTAAGGAGCGTACGAGTCCGCGGCAAGGAGAGGTGAAAAACGTCAGGAAAGACGAATAACTGAATAAGCATAAAGATTAGAGAAAGATGTTCGATGGCAGAGACGTTTAGTGAAAGTGAGGGGAGACAAAGAGAGTGAGTCGCAAAAATGACTTGAATGTGTGAGAGAGGGGGATACACGCAAAGAGCGAGAGCAATAGCGATAGAAAGAGATAGAAAACTGGACAGACAGATAGAAAATTATATGGATAGGAAAAACTAGGCAGAAAACAAAGATATTTTTTCTCAATAAATCCACATATGGATTGGACCCTCTTCTTTTTAATATATATTTTCTCTCGTTGGAACCACTACAACATATATATATATATATATATATATATATATATATATATATATATATATATATATATATATATAAATTAATTATTGATTTAAAATATGGTTTTTCCGCTGTATTAGGAATGTTCTTCAGAGAAATTCCGAAATTTATTTTCTCCATATTATGCTCTGTAAATTTACATTGAGCACTATTTTGTAAAAATAAAAATATCTATAAGAACACCGGATTATATATCTTACTGTTCTTTCTTTATAGAGAGACCGAAATGAAATGAGATAGATAGATAGATAGATAGATAGATAGATAGATAGATAGATAGATAGATATAAATAAACGAAGATAGATAGATAGATAGATAGATAGATAGATAGATAGATAGATAGATAGATGATATCTTCATAGATAGATAGATAGACAAATAGACTGAGGTACCTTTATAAATAGACGAAGATAGATAGTTAGATAGACTGAGATACTTTTATAAATAAGCGAAGATAGATAGATAGATAGATAGATAGATAGATAGATAGATAGATAGATAGATAGATAGAGTGAGATGCTTTTATAAATTGACAAAAGTAGATAGAAAGGTAAACTGAGATACCTTCATAAATAGACGAAGATAGATTGATAGACTGAGATGCCTTTATAAATAAACGAAAATAGATAGATAGATAGATAGATAGATAGATAGATAGATAGACTGAGATATCTTCAGAGATACATAGATAGAGAGACAAATAGACTGAGGAAATTTATAAAAGGACAAGATAGAGGCATATGGAAGATTGAGATACTTTTATAAATAAGCGAAAAAAAATAGATAGATAGATAGATAGATAGATATATAGCGAAAGAATCAGAAGAAAGAAAGAAATTGGTAAGTTGCTGAGTCAGACAATTATAAATAAGGTCACCTGGTTTTCGTCTATTTTCTTGTGGTGGTCGCTGATAAATTATAATAATTTTTTTAACCCCTTATCATTTGACAAGCTTCATGTGCTACAATGGCAGCTCCCACTGCCGACAGAAATATCAGCAGGAGCATCGCTATCAGTAAACTCGTAATCAGTATCCGTTTTATTGTAGATAGTTTTATTTGAAAGTGAAAACCGCTGTTAAATTAAAGCCCGTGTAAAATGAAGAAAAACAGACGACTTCAAAATTCCATGTAATACCCTCTATAGTAGCTAGACTTTATGAATTTAGGCGCAATACTAGATTGGTGGCAAGTTCTCATCATTTTAAAATCGGAATGGCTAGATGTAACTGTAAGTTCTATGCTAACAGTTTCTTCTACGGACTTCTCGCCTGTGGAACTCTCTTCAAACTTATTGCTTCCCAGTGAACCTTGATTTTCAAAAATTTGAATGCAGTCTCAGTCTTTATTTTCTGTCTTCTTAATTCTTGTTCTTTTAGTGTTCTTTCTACTTAGAATAGTATTTTTCTTATATTCTCTAACACTTTGTAGCCCTTGCGTATTAATGTCTTTATTGCCTTCTTTGGGGGTGATACGATTAAAAGGTAATGTGAACGAATACGAAAAATATTTAGACAATATTACATTTTATATACACATAGACTGATACTTGAGCATACTTAGAAAGATAAGAAGTGTCACGGAATTTCTTTTTTTTTTTTTTTAAGTGAGAAAGTCCTGAAAATATTCACAGGAGGAGGGTGTATTTTATCGTCATACCCAGGACGCGGGTGTAGTTTATGGAAACGCTACATTTGATGGTAAAACAGCAAAGAAACCAGTCAGACCAAAAGAAAAAGAATAAAGGGACTTTTGTAGCAGGCCCCACTGTGGCAGGCCAGATGCTTCTGGAAATATGGATAAGGCCAAAGAGACTGATGTTCTAATTACATCTAATAGCAAATCATTATTGTAAAACTGCGAACTAGCTTTTGTAACAAGGCCTTTACAGCTAGGACCGTCCATGCCACCTACACAAAAGTGAATCATCCACATTTCCTTCGTATTCCAATAGTAAAACTTAAGTTTTTTCCCAAGAAGAAGGGATCCACGTGCGGCAGGATGTTTTCCCAATCACTACAATCTTGAACTCTTCTAGAGTTAACCGTTATCTTTCCTGCATAGCCCCCAAGAACTTCACTTCTTGCCCTTACTTGCGCTCATACAATAAGTCAAGTAACCATCTTCCTTGAGTGGCTCTTGGGCCTTGTATTGCGTAAACGTTATTATAAAGAGACAAAGGACTGAAAAGCCACACATTATCGTAAATAAAGGGTTTTTCATTAAGACGGATTATATATAAGGGTGTATCATTAAGACGGATCAAAGTCAACAGTAAATAAATCATTGTTATAGGTGAAGATTTATTTATTTCTCTATTGGGACATGTTATCTAAGTCATGGCGATTATGTGTGAAAAATAATACCACCCAAATGTCCGCCAAATCTGAAAGAAAAAGAAAAAAATCATTAGACACTTAAACTTATTTCACATTTAAAATCAGTCCAAGTTATTATAACACCTTTTACAAGAGAGGTAATTGAAGCGCATCTCTGGACAAATTGTCTAATCTAGTTTGCAGTCTCCTGGTATCTTCAGGCAATTCTGTTCGTGCCCGTGTGGAGGCACACAGAGGACAGCAGGTTTTCAATGATGATTAGTTGTAGAAGGCAACTGACACTAAGAAAATAATCAAACGAACTAATTTTACGAAGCTCTTAGATACCTTGGGTGAGAAGAAAGGAGAAATGTTGAAGACTAGATTTGATTTGGTTTGTTTTACGGCATATCAAACTCAATGGGTTATTTAATGCCGACAAGATTTTTATTGCTGATAATATTTTTTTTCAAAAATGTATAGCTGGTAATATTTATTATTCAAAAATGTATTACTGGTAATAATTTTTCTTCAAAAATTTATTGATTGTAATAATTTTTTACAAAGTATTTCTCATATTAAAACCTATTTTTACAGTTTCACAGTGTTTTGACCCCAGTTTGGGGGTTAACTATTTGCTTATAGCTGGGAATCTAATAGGTGCTACCAACCCTGGGTCAAGGTGGATCTGGGAACACCAACAATTAAGAGTCCTTGCTGTTGGACGTAGTTTATCGTCATACCCAGGACGCGGGTGTAGTTTATCGTCATATTCTGAACGCGGGTGTAGTTTATCGTCATACTCAAGACGCAGGTGTATTTTATCCTCATACCCAGGACGCGGGTGTAGTTTATCGTCATACCCAGGAGGAGGGTATAGTTTATCGTCATACCCAGGACGCGGATGTATTTTATCTTCACCATAGTCGACCAACCGAGAGTGCAATTGGAAACAATTCCTGCGCGTGATGACGAATAGAGGGGTCTGGATTTTCGGCCACATTCTCGTGCACTGCAGCAATGTTTTCAGCTGAACGGCGTAAACGAGCACGCAATGGTGTTTTCAAATCTGCCACCGATCCAGTTTGTTTGAATTTACGAACAATTTTTCCAGTTGCACTCTTGAAACTTTAACACGTTTTTTGATTGTTAATCTTTCCATGGTTGAAATTGCTAAAGAATTAAGTTGTTAAATCTGAAAGAAAAAGAAAAAAAAATCATTAGACGCTTAAGCTTAATTAACATTCAGTTATTTTTTTATTTTTATTTTTTTAAGCATTTCACCCCAAGTAAGGCGGGACGCCACTAGGACGCAAGGGGTTACAGAAAATTTAGAGCAATATCAGATAGGAGTGATATAAGAAAGGATGAGGGTAGTGGATAGATCAAGGCAACTGGAGATGTCGATTGACATTACACTTGAATAGCTGGAGATTATAGTTCTCAGGGAAACTGGAATAGGGAAGGGAGTTCCACAGGCAAGAGGTGCGAGACATGAAGCTATTGGAGTAGAAGAGACGGCTACATTTAGGACTTTCGACAGTGAAGGGGTGAGAGCGGGATGCCAGCCTCGTAGGGCGCTTTTTATATTTATATATCTATTTTATATACATTAACACAGGCTCTGATTTGGGACCAGTGAAAATCTCTCTTATATCCGGGTTTCTCTTATATCAGGGTCGCTTATATCCGGGTTACACTGTACAAATATTTAAGTAAATGCTCTGTTTATAATAAACAGTATTTACTACATTTACCGGCATTAATATCCAAGAAATTACTAACCAGGCGCTTCGACTGTAGATAAATGGTATAGCAGGTCAGATTATACGATGGTTCCGTCTAGGACACAGGTTCGATTCCTGTCGGAGGACATATCATTTCTTTGAAATTTCTCGGACATGCAGTTAATACTGTTTGTATCTATAAAAATATCGTATAAACAGAAAATATATTAAAATAATTGTCGGACTGAGTTCATTTCATAATTGTATATATGGTGGACTCCCCGTCGACGGATGAGTGTGAAGCAGCTCAGTTCCTAGGAACCAACAAGCCAGACACCAGAACAGCTAATTTGATTATAGTGGTGAAGGGTTTGTGCATATATATATATATATATATATATATATATATATATACTTAGAGAAACGAGTTTACAGATTCACTATTATTCTAACAATCTTGCTTTCTTTCGCATACATGCAAGCATATGATTTTATGTAATCGTTAATACATACATAAATATACATGAATGCACTCAAGAACAGAGAGACTTACCTGCTTGCTTGTCGATTAATTATTTAAAACACACAGACCAAATGACTAAAATATTTCGTTAGATTCATCGGCTTAGGTTGATTTAAAGATTTAATCAGCTTAGGGGGGCGGTAGAAAAAACAAGTAATTGTTGTCGGCTGTCATTTATGGCAGGTCTGGCAAGTGAAGCAGATACTTCAGATAAAGTTTGGGCCAATTGAAGTAAGTCAATCGGACCAGTAACTTTTCAGCGTTCTGTCATATCTGTTTTTGAGTGTTTTTGTATGGGTATGTGTGCGTATGTGTGTGTGCAGGTTTGTGTGTGTGCAGGTTTGTGTGTGTGTGTGTGTGTGTGTGTGGTCTGAAAAGTCATATTCTGATTTCTTTTAATTCTAATTTTAAAAAAAAGATTTATATACCATGTATTTGTTTAAATAAAGAAATATTTTATTTTAGCTTACATTAAGTTAAATGAGTCTCTCTCTATCTCTCTCTATCTCTCTCTACCTCGCTCTCTCTCCATATATATATATATATATATATATATATATATTTATTAAAGACATTTTTATTTATGTTTAACGTTGTTATTTTATAGATACAAGTATTTAAGCAAATGCTCTGTTTATGATAAACAGTATTAATACTGTTTATCATAAACAGAGCATTTGCTTAAATACTTGTATCTATAAAATAACAACGTTAAACATAAATAAAAATGTCTTTAATAAATAAATTGTCGGACCTCGTCCATTTCTTAACATATATATATATATATATATAAAACCAATAATCTTTAGTGGCGATAATTTCAAGTCCAAGTCTATATATAATCTCCCTTTCTCTCCCCTTAACAAACCTTATTGAAATATCTGTCTCTCTTTTTTCTCTCCCTTTTAATATTAAAACTTATTCCTATCTCATGTTTCCCTTCTTCCTATTCTTTCTTTTTTTCCGTTTTTCTGCTTTTCTTTTTTTCTACCTTCTTTTTTTTTCTTTTTCTTTCTTCCTTTTTCCCTTTACTCGAGTCTCGATGAATTAAAAATCCATTTCTCAAAGTAAAATTTGTCTGAATGATTGAGAATTTTGCCCATGAAATAAATTTATTACCACCAATTATGGATCTTTAAGGATTCCTTTTTTCATTAACACATATATATAGAGAGAAATAATTAGGAGGATTTGAAATAATGATAATTAAGTAATTCATCGAGTCGAGAAGAAACCTCAACAGAATGCAGAAAGCACTGGTCGGCCGTTTCGTCCTATATTTGGGACTCGTCAGCATAGCGCATCCACTACCGAGGATTGTATCCCGAATAGGAGGCAAACGCCATACCAACTGTACCAACGGTTCTCGGTGACGAAAAGGTAATGAATTAGACTCGATATAGCGCCGCACGATCACATATTCCCTGGTGGAACTCATCC